ATGAATCAAATTAATTCAATAAGGAAATAAAAATTAGGAAATTAAGTTTCGAAGTTTAAAAATCTGTTGATCTAATTTAATCTTGTACAAACAAATCTCCGGGAGTGCTAAGTCAGTAATTGTACATTAACGGAAGCAAACGTGTAATGGTGGAAAAGCAAAAAAAAAATTTCTAACATATGTTCTTGTTCAATACAACATTCCATATTCATCTAATAAAAATGTTATAAGAATTCTCGCAAAAACCATTATTTTTTAACAAAACCACATTATTTAAATATTTTATTGGGGAAACTCTGTAAGTCACGAAACAAAGAAGTCACAAGTAACATTAAAAAAAGAGCACATGTGAGCAAAAAATCTTTCGGAAATACCACCAAACAATTTCGCACAACTTGGAAACTTGCAATCACACAAGAATACATTCAGAATGAATTAAATTACTTGCACAGATCATATAAAAAAGAATTAGACTACCTGCATTAATCTGCTCAATTTTGTCAAATGAGCCAATTTGAAAAAGTTGCTTTAGAAATAAGCTATAGTATAAATGTCTTATCTTCTAACATATAAAAAATACAAAACACACAACATATCCTTCTGTAAGTTAAAAGAAAAAAAAAATTGCCACATCAAAAGGCTATTCTTATTTAGTAGAAGAAAAAGAGCAGTCTAACTTACTGAGAAGACAAAATTTAGGTCAGTTTAAGAACTTCAGTCTTCACTTTCAGAATTAAAAATTTACTGAATTTTCTCAAAGTCACGAAGAAAAAATAATGGACCAGCTCGATCACGAAATCAGTGAGAAGCAGAAACAGAAAAGATAAACAAATCTAATGAATACTTGTAAAAAATGGCTAGACATCAACTTCGTCGTTGTTCTTCTCCTTTAATTGCTCAATAATTAATAAAAAATAAATGAAATAAAAAAAAACATTAATAAAACACAAGCCGATGTAAGAATAACAACAGGAATGAAAAAAAGCCTGCCAAAATACCAGCAAGAGTAAATGAAAATATAACGTCACTTCATTCTATTGAACGGAATTGGAACTGCAGATGTCGTTTAAAGGAAGCATTAAGAACAGCAAAAAGTGACTAACGTACTATCACGTTTTGCAATTTTTTGAAGGAATACTGACTTCAGATCAAGAGTCATATTGCAATTCAAAATATTCTACTATCAATTAATAATATTCTCTAATATCCGCAAATCTTAGAAACTGAATAATATATAAAAATGAGAAAAAATCTTTACTTAAATAAATTTTAAGAAAAAAAATACACATCCTAGATATGTATATTTAGATAATTAAGTATAAATCAAGCCAAAAATTGGAGATAAGCAAATTACGTCATCTTAATTTTGATGTTCCAAAATGTCATCTGAAAGAAGATGCGGTTCTCTCAGCTGTTCAACTAGATTCCAATCAACTTTTTTCATTGCATTGTGGATGAGTAAATCTTCATTCATGTATCTCAACGCATCGGCAGCAAACGAGTAGGATTTTAACTTGGGTACTGATTCCTCATTCTGAAGGAAAACGCAAGCAATTATAAATCAGTCAAACAGGAAACGGCATATAATATAGTATGTTATTCATTCCGGTTCAACATTCTAAAGTAGCTACACCTGCTACTACTATAATATTTTGTAATGTATTATTTAAACAAATGATTTACGAAGCAATAAATTTCTTCGACAATCAGTCCATTTTACTTCCTGCTTCAATTTAATCATCACTCTAAGCGAAATAAAATATTTTGCTAGACATTACATAGAATTTCTGAAAGTCGGCATATTCCAGAAGCCCAAAGCTTTAGTATATCCAAAATGATGATGAGGCACTCAGCAAAGTAATTACCATCAAAACTCATACATATTATAAAAGAGTGCAATCTGCTTTTCCATACCACAAAATTTACAAACCTCAAGAAGTTGCAAAACTCTGTGAACAATCCAATTACTGCTCTTACAATCACTCTTCGCTCCCATAATCCGAACCAGAAGGCATCGTCCTAAAATATTACATAATGGCCCAAATTTGGCAATTAGTTCCAACGGATCATCAACTGTGCCAAAAAATTCAGCCCACAAATTTGATGAATCATGTTGATAACTCTGTGGTACAAAAAGTCTCACTTGTACCTGAAAAACAAACACTGATAAATAACCTGAAGCATATTCAATTATGTTTCATAATAGTTCCTGTTTTTTCTGCAATATCATTCTAGTACAAAGCAATCGCAATGCTGAGTTATTAAGAAGCACCAAAGATGAATATTTTGGAGAGGAGAGACTGAGAGCAAAAATCCTTTATTCTAAATTAACGTACTGAAACAAATGAAACAGTTACCGAAACGATAGTTCTGTAGGATCGTGTAGGATAAAGCGGACTGACAACGTACCAATCCTTTGCAGCATATTTACATCTTTCTAATTCATTGTGTTCTTGCAAGCATATATCATCTATACGGCTGAAAACGAGATCTTATTTACTATGGAACTGCCTACTCTTGTAAGTCATTTTCTTTCATTCTTATACATCTAGCGTTTAGATGGAAGTTGACATATCTATTAAAATATGTTACAATATATGTGGATATCTCAAACATTATTAAATTACTTGTTCAGGTATCTGAAAAATGCAGAGATAGCGATAGCAGCAGTAAAAATTACCATTTCAAGTGTCGAAACCCTGCATAATTCAAATCAGTGAATTTTGAAAAGCAAAACTTACGAAGGTATGAATTTAATCCATTCACCATGTCGTATGTGTTGACCAGAACACAACGAAACCATTCCTTTACCGAGCATCGATGACCAAACAAAAGCTCTTCCATTAAAAGAGGATGTTATCAAACCAACAACTGCTTTACTTTCTTTGATTTCTTCTCCTTCTGCTCCCCCTACACATGGCTGGCAATCAAAAAATTGCTGCTGAAAAGAAAATTTTTTTTTACAGCCTGGAAAAGAAAAGTAATGAAAAGTCAAAGAAATCTCCCCAGAAAATTAAAAACAGAAATGTATATATACATATATAAATATATACGTATATAAACAATCTCAAAATACAAAGAAAAAATACGAACAGTAATCCCTCATCATAGCTTGTAAAAATCACAATGTGTTCAGGAAAGAAAATCAAAATGAAAAACAACGAAGCACGCGAAAGAGTTACACCAATTCCTATGTTTGGTATTTGAAACAAACAGAACTTCCATTAACAACTATTTTAATTATGCAATTCTGGCTATTTTAATAGTTAGACAACCCATAAATGAAATGAAACATATGGACCGAACAAAAATTATTCCAAATTCTGGCTAATAGTTAGATAATATTTTACACAATCCATAAATGGAATGACGAACAAAAATGAAATTAAAATATATTCCATATATACATTAAAAATAACTTCAGAGCGCTGCTAGCCATAAATCATAAAAATATTCACACCAGCAAGCTTACCTCGGTAAAATATGACTGTTTCGAAGAGTTTCGTTTGCGTGATTGGTTATATTCTTGTATCTCATCGAAATCAACGCTACTGAATGAACTTCTAGAGGTACGTGTAGCAACATCAGAACAACTGTCCTCAAACGCTGTGTTTGGCGATCCAGTGTGTAGCTTAAATTCCGATGAAAGACTATGTACTGATGAAAATCGCTCCAAAGATATTCCCACAATCTGCTTAGAAATTTCCCCGCTAATATACCACGACGTTTTGTAAAAGTATTCAAGATTGGAAAGCGCTTGTGGGATTCTGAAATACAGTTTGTCTTCATATCACTAAATGACAAAAGACTGATAGAACTGTCTAATCATTCAGTCAACGAACCTTCCAGAAATGGCTGCACTGCTCATATCTTTCTAGACAAATTCTGTTTATGACAACTTATGCACTTGTTTACTAAGTATGATCCCTAGTAAATAATGTAAATATTTGATTAAATCTCATGGAATTTTCAATGATTTATTTAAAATAAGAAAAACATTGGACGCACTGAGTTTGGATGAAATGACTTCAATTCAAGAAATATATCAAAACAAAAACATAACTAACCTTTCAACCCAAATGTCACAATCACAGCATTCACTCAAAGTCGGGAAATTTTGGAATATTCCAATAACTCCTAAATCATTTGAATGAGCTAACAAATTACAACCAGAGACAATATCGGAACGAAATGAGACTCGCGTTTTGACCTGAAGGGAAGAGAAATCCACATTTACGACCCATTTAATTTTTTTGGCATCAGAAAGCCAAAAGATGAAAAACTAGCAGCTTGTCTAATGTATCGAACACCTTTTCAGGTTGTCTTCAAAGTCCTAAAAATTGTGGAAACTTCCAACATCAATCATCTGATCACCAGTTCTAAAACAATTTCGACTAACTAACTTAAATATATATATATTAAAAATTCTTATTATTTATTTTGAAAGAGCAAAAAATGGAGAAAATAAAGTATATTTCTCACCATGACACCTCCATGTTCATTTACTTTCGTCGGTAATAAATCCGGAATATCAATGAAATCATCAATAAAATTGCTGCCAACTTTAATGCTAAAGACAATCCAGTCACCAATTGACGGTACATATCCACCTGTAGGTGCCAGTCTTTTGTCCAGGATAGCTTCTGGTCCGAAATTTTTCGACCATACATAAAGAAATTCGCTTTTCGATTTTGTTACCACCCCTTTATACAACATCCTAAAAGAACTATAATCGTCTATTCGAACACTCCAAAGACATATCCCATAAAGATAGGCAGGAACACTCACAAAGTTTATGTTTGAAATTAAACCTGCAGAAAATATAATATACTATTGAAATGAACCCGTGATATGATAATGGAAATGCATCATGTTTTCTAATAAAATATGCCTGTATTTTGAATTAGGAAAAGAAAGTTAAGGTCGAGTAAATAAGCATAATCCAAATTTCTACACCTAATAAAGAGGACGAATGTTCTTTCAGCCAAAATTTATTCGTACTTTGCCTATCGAACAAAAATAAAGAAGTGCATGAAACAATTCCGAAAAAGTTTCTACCCTTTTTACTCTTTAATTTCTACTCTTTAATTTGTTTATCTGAAATCCAAACAGAGAATTGTAAATCTTTCAAATTTACAAATGGGACGAGATAATCCCTGAAAATGAACTCAAATTGAAAAACATTCACCGTCTTACATATAACCTTCACCTCTCTCTGTCTTCCCGTTGTGCAACGGTATATATCTCTCATCAAAATGCTTCATGGCTAACTTCTTGCTTAATAAGCTTAATCTTGCTTAATAAGAGAAGTATGAAGAAATTTTGCTCACAATAATCTATCCATCATATTAGGCACAGAAATGTAGGTTATACTCGTTTATTCAGCTCCAATTTTCTCATAAATACTTCGAGATCATTATTATTCCATATGATCTAAAGTTATCTTTCCGTTTTGATTTGTTGTCATATTCTTCTCTAATCCGTTTTGGTTTGTTGTCATATTCTTCTCTAATTTCACTCAGGCTTTTGCATGAAAATGAAACCGAATGAATTTTAAAAGTAACACCCACATTCGATAGAGATGTTAAAATAAACAGAGAGTACCGAAAAAGTTTCAAGATATCCATCTCTTTTGACGTTTTTGACAAGAGGAAACAAATTGAAAGTGACATTTAAAATGATTTTTTAGATTGAAATCTGAGTAATTCCAAAAAATTTCAAACTTTCTAGATCGTCTCCAAATGTTATTTTCGATGAATAATCTAATTTCTATAAAATGAGAAAAATAAATTTTATTCTCTTTTTGAATACCTAATCATATTGAAGAACCGGTTAGTTGTATGATAGAAAGCAAAAAAGATTTGTGAATTTCTAAAAGATCAGGTAATGTTTCGTTGTCTTTTTCTCTTCATAAACTCCACTAAGATGTGAAAGTATTACCAGTTATTAATATTTATTCGTAAACATTCAAATATTTGCATTTCATCGAAAGTATCATTGAGGGAAAGTATCCAGAAATTTAAAATTATAGGATAACCAGTTGGTAAAGCATTTCTTGCAGCAAAATTGTAATCACATAAAAACGCTGGTTGTTTACAGTTATAACTGAAAATAACAATATTTATCAGTTTGTTAGGATTGAATTTAAATCTTTTTTATGACACAAAATGTTTCAACATATCGCAATCTTCTTAAGCGCTCTCTTAATTGGTAATTTTAATTTCATATTTCAACTCCATTATTTGTATTGTTGCTAATCATATATCGCTTGTAACAGTAGCATTAAGTATTTTCTTCGATCGTACTAAATTGAAAGATGTATTGAATGAACATAGTGATAAATTCCGATACTTCAAACATTTTATTATTCATAAGAAGTAGACTGATTAGTTACTGATCATTATTCGAGAATGTGTTAATTTAAGCTAATTCTACATTATTCTTTTTTCAAAGATGATCATTGTCTCAAGCACTTCTAATAATATAAATTTTCAGTTATCACTACACAAACATGCTGTCCGCCACCGTCAGCCACATCATCTGATAAGAGATCGATCAATATTTTAATCCCAGTATCGTATCCATCCACGATTTCTGAATTGGGTGGTTTAAGAGATAGATTGGGTGGTTTGGGAGGTGGATTGGGTGGTTTGGAAGGTGGATTGAATGGTCTTCCGAGTCGTACGTACTTCGGATACTTTACTCGATGTAAGTTATCAATTTCTTGAAATTTTAATTCTTATTTATTCATTTATTATTTATTTTATTTTATTTATTATTTTACTCACTTGTTTTATTATTTATTATTTATTACATATTATCTTCATATATTAAATTTTAATGAAAATTGAAGAATACAAAGTAACGATTGGAATAAAATAAGGAAGAAATTCGAGTCTCAGCTTCAGGATATTATAATCAATTAGACTTAGAATTATAATGAAGGATGGAGAAATTCACATTCAAATATGATTGAATTTGTTTTCGACGAAAGCTGATGGTTATTTCGAAATTGAATTAATAAATAATGATTTGCGGAGATTTTAATTTCTCGTTTGAAATTGCTATTCCAGATCAATAGTAGTACAGGGAATAAACTGCACATGCCAGTTAATTAGATGAGATTCGGAATAACAAGTGCATTGATTTTAATTTGGTCTTTCAAACATATGCCTGTTGAATTGAGTTAATTGATTTTTAAAACAGTACTTTTTAATCTTGAAAAATAGTTTAAAAGTTATAGAATATCTTGAAAAAAAAATAAGACTTAACGAGAGAGAATACTTCAATATTGTAAGGTAATGCTTAAATGAAAAATGGTTTGAGATTTGAAATTCTGCAGAAACATTTTTTGGTTGCTTGAATTTCAAGATCTTGGACCAGCAAATGCAAATGGAATGTGTCCAGCTGGAGTAAATATTAATGGCCAATGTTGGTATAATAGTATTGGGAACAGTAAACGATAATTTCAGTACAAATGAAAATTGAAAATATGAACTGGAGAAAGATTGATCTATATGTAATGTTTTATCATTTTTATCAATTTTTTTTGAGACCTATCAATCGTTAAAATTTAATATGTTTTATTGAAATTTATAATTTTACTACTTTTTATTATATGTGCCTTTCTTTTTTTTTAAAAAAAAAAAAAACTCTGCAGAAGATGTAATTCTGATGGTAATGTTTCTCTAACTTCCTAATTCATTTATATTTTTTGTGTCCAATTTCCAAAATGTATCACAACTCCTTGTCTGACTCAATAAAAAGAAATAATAAGTTAATGTGAGAAGAAAAATATGGTCTATCTCAAAATTGACTGTCTCTAAATTCGCCTTTTAGTCAAAACCTCTACCACTGCAATCACTTCAATGCTTCTTTTTACTCTGCATTCAAATAAAATGTAAATTTGAGTTAGCAGATTATAAAGATAAGATATGAAACATTTTATTTGATGCTTTAACCTGCTTATATCAACTTAGCAAAATGTTGAATTTGCTAAAATGCTGGAGTGCTAGCAGCTTTCTCTGGTACTAAATGTTTGTATAGCTCTGTATGACTTGAATAATTTTTTTTTTCGGGATTTTATTTTTTCCAAGAATATAATTATTTATTCTATTTCAAATCATCAATTTGTTACTGTGATTTTATGATGCATTTCAAAATCATTAATACAATTTTGTTCAAGAAAAATTTACCAGTGTGCCAAAATGAAACATTACATAAATAATCAATAGTTTAGACTGTAATTTAACAAATATAAACAGAAAATTGTGAAAAATTAACTAATAGAATGAATTGATTTTTTCTTATCACATTGAACAAAACCAATTGAAGATTTTGTTAAATGGCTAAATCAAGATGTTAAATGGCTTTTTTGATTTGGGTACAGTAGTGAGCACTTTTCTCATTTGTTTATGAAATGATAACAAATAAGTGATAAGTGGAACAATGGCTTACCTTTTCTAGTTATAATCACCTGGTCATTACTCTAGCCATAATTAAAATACGAAGCATATTATCAGTTCTGGACATCCAATCATATTGGTGATATTATTGAGCAGTTGTAATGTATTTAAGAAATTCAGGTTGAAATTGAAAAGAAGAGCAGAAAAAAAATCTGATCTAACAAAGACGTACCGCTACAACTGGACAAATACTCATTTAGCTGAATAATAATTTCTAAACAAATTTAAATGTTTAGGAAATTTGTTAAAATTTATTTCATCGAATACACATTCTCAAACAACAATACATCATTAGCACATGATGAAAGGAGAAGCATTCAAAGCATTCCGACATGATGCCGATTAAACAAATGTTAAATCTGTTCGGTGTGACCAAATTTAAAAAATAACAATATTGATCATCCCTAAAAATTAAAACAGTTGATAGTTTCATAAGCCAAGATATAATTTATTCATATAAAAAAATTGGCAACTATATAAAATTCAATTAAAGTTAAAATGCAATAATAGGATAACAGGTGTTGCAAGAAGAAATGAACTAATAGATAATATAACATTTTTCACTGAAATTAAATAAATTTCCTCTAGCGTTACCTCCAACTTCAGCATCTTTATTTTTTAAGTTTTTATTCCCAAATGATAAAATGCAGTTGCTAACTTTTTTACATGAATAAATTCTAGCTTAGCTTATTAAACTGTTAACTGTTTCAATTTCTCAAGATGAACCGATTTTATTATTTTAAAACGGCACCAAACAAATCATGTGAGTAATGAATGATTCATTGAATGAGAATTATTTGGGGAAAATCATTCAGTAATCATTATTTTTCAATTTTTATGATTTGGTTAAACTTTTACCTTGTATTCAGGACAAGTTTCTCGCAGCAGTTCAAGAGTTAGTTT